CAGACCCTTTAGGAGCAAGCTGGATTCGAAACACAGTTTTCTAAGAAATATGGAGAACAATAGTTCTCGAAACGTCTGATGGCAAGTTACAGGATCAGACATCATACATACATGGCACACTTCATTATACAATAGCTCTATACAGAAATCAAACTTAACGGGGAGTGAGACCTCCATTAAGAGATATGGAAAACTACAGTCTTAAAATAGACTACAAAAATAAATGCTGAAAAAGGTTATTACATTGGAGGGTACCTTGAATATTGAAAGGAGAAAAACTGAAACAACAGCCTGGGTAATTAGAGGTTGTACAATTTCATAGTATTCCTACCACAAAATGACTAATGTCCCATGTGAGATGAAGACTTCATTCCTCCTCACTATGGAGCCATCCTGAAGTGACAGTTTGTAAAAAGAAAATTAGTTTCTTTTGGCCCAGTGACAACACTAAGATGTTTTTGGTATGGCACTAAGAGGAGTTGAATACTGCTGAAGAACAGAAGTACTCCCACATCCACAACGAACAATACTAGAAATCCTGCCCCTCTGGAAAGGCACTATTTGAACCAGGGAGGATGAAAAACCTACGTATTATTTCTAGTTTAAATTATTGCCTATTAAATGGAAGTTGTTATTTGAAATGTCCCAGTGGATTTGGGTTAATCTGGGAGGAATATGTGTTGCTATAAGAGTATGGCTATAACATGACATACCCTGTTGTGTCACAAGCATCTTACTTCATTAACAAAGTTGAAGGAAAAGCAAACAAACAGACAGAATACATGAAAATTACAAATCATAGAGATTTGGAGGTTTGTCAACACTACTTGGGACAGAGAAATGGAAGGATACAGACATTAAAATAGTCTGTAGAAATAAAATGGAATTTGAAGAAAAATTCACACTAAATTCTAAGGAGAAACTTGGGAAACAGCAATAGTGAAAGATACCTTAGGGAACTGGGAAAAGCCAGGTGATAGAAAATTTGCAATTGACAATGATTATAAAAATGCTGGTGCAATTTTGAATTGAACATACAAAGACTTTATATCACAGCAGAATAGAGAATTTCCTCTCTCCAGACACGGCTTTTGTGTGGCTAGGTTTGGAGTATTTTCTTCACCCTGAGCATGCTTTTTTCAGAAAAATGCTGACAAATAGGAGGGAGTTCCAGAGAACGATTTCTTTTCATGGACTGGAGAACTTCGATGAAAGAATAAACAAATACGCACATATTGTCAGATTAAATGAAAACAAGTATGTGTCTAAATAAATTTAAAACCAGTCTATAAATATTGAAGAATATAATCAGCAAGAATCAAAAGGAGCATTCATAATTTTTCCAGAGCATTGGAAAAGGAGGAAGACTGTAAGGAAACATCTGTCTGGTTTTACACGATGGAAAAGAGCTCTTCTCTGCTTCTTCTAAAGCCTTATCTTAAAATTTCAGGGCTGACAATTATCTGCAGTGTGGCTGAACTAGCTGTGAATACACAGTGACAAAGCTCAAGGCTTTGCTGGGAGGCAAACAAGACTTGCAAGCCACACTAGAGATGAAGGATAAGAAAACAGCTAGAAGACTCTGTTAGGGGCAGACAAGTGAATTTTTTGGATGTACAATTTTGCAAAAGAATAAATGTAAAAATAGAGAAGACAGAAGATAGAAAACTGTGCAGAGTGCCTGTATACGTGAGGTTTTTCCTTTCTCCCTTGTACTGACCAACAGCAATACAGAAAATACTTTTCTATACCAAAGGATACCTAGTGATAGATAAAAATGCTGTGACATTATTCTTTGGCCATATGTAAAGCCCTGATCTCTGTCCAGCAACAAACACTTTTTAAATCAACCAACTGACTGTATGAGCATTTCCAGTATGGATTTAAGCACTACCCCCATAAATTACAGGCAAAATAAGATAGTAAAAAAAAAAGTGTTTGTATCTACAAAATTAAGCCTACACTTTGGCTTTATTCCAAATGCGAACTACCATCAACTGCCATAATAGATGAAGAAGTGCAGCATTCACTAATAACATCTACAAAACAGTTTCCTTCAAATTCAGCCATCCATTGGGTGAATTTTGGGTTTTAAATATCCACATGCATTTCATCACTTCTAGTCACATAGATAAGAAGGCGAAGGATATTCACACTGCTTAATTCAATTGACCCTCACCCCTCAAAATGTGAATTATAGTAACTAATTCAAATGCTACTCCCCACCCACTGACTAGACTGAGGCTATAAATTTAGGGACCAGAGATAGGTAAGGAAAATCATATATTGTGAATACCTGTAAAATAATCTATTCCATTATAAGAAAAAAAGTCATTACACATCATTGAAACAACTGCAATAACCTGGTATGATTCTGATATAGTGTTCAAAAGGCAAAGTGAGTGGGGAAGCTGAGTAATTTTTTCTGAAACTTAATCATAAATTTCTGAAGTTTCAAGAAGTTATTTTTAATACATACATTATGCTAGGCACTTAATTTCAATTTAATCAATAATTACAAAATTCAATTAACATTAATTCTTTGGACTGTAAATACTCTCAGGAACTAACTTTATCTTGTACAGTATAATAGCAATTATGTATATATGCTCAAAAAAGAAAGCAGAAAAATGTGTTTTCTAATCAAAAGTACAGGAGGATTAAGGAGAAGCAGGACTGAATCATTCCACCTGAAATATGACCTGAGGGACTACTCTCCCTACTCTCAGGAAAAATGCTAAGATGTCTTCCAGTATCAGATTCAATTATTACCAGTTTTAAAATCATGTCTTAAAGATGACATCTCAATAGCATAATGTCATGATCACATCATTTCATTATCAGTTCAGAAATGAGAGGAGAGCATGCTGGACGAACACCACACACGGAAGAAATTAAAACCATTTCCTATATCAATGCAAGTTTTCCTAAAGGCTTGCTATTACACATTTCATGTTGACATAATGAATTTTCCATTTTGAATTGGTTCTCTCATTGACCCAAAAGACATAAAATATGGGCCCAAAGCTTATGCTTCTTGATACATTTTTGTTATGACACATACTGGCAAAATAATTTTCTTCCCTTAAAAACATTTGTTTGAATGAATGATCTAATAAACCCTATCATAAGAACAAACCTTATCATTGCCACTTTGTAATAAAAACTGGGATTCAATCTCTCCACTGTGATTTAAGTTTAGTCTTGTAAGTTAATCCAACTTAAATGAGTAAAAAGTGACTAAATACCGTCCTCTATAAATTCTTTTTAAGCATGGGAATAATTCGACAGTCAGAACACTTAATTCTGTTATAACCTACCAAAGTCTTGCATACCTATTATGTTTAAAAACAAGGCATTTTTTTCTTCAGTATAAGTTATTAATGATTTTTATATCAATGTGTTTTTATTATATAGTCTAAAGACACTTCAACAACTCAGGTAATTTTTAAAATGGCTCACTGTAACATCAAAACTAATAAAACAAATCATCACCACCTGTCTTAAATGATTAGTTTGAGTAACAGCAATGAAGCCATGTAAGGAAAATACTAGGTGTTTATGTGCAGAGTTCTCATTTGTTTATTTCTTGTCCCAAATGCTGCTTGAGAATCCGTGGCTAATTTTTGGCACTGACTGCAATGCTTCCTCTGGCACTACCGCCTAGGCTTGACCCTGCATAAAGGTAACAAATCAGGAAAACTGAAGCAAAAATTCAGCCCTCCTTTTATACAGTGCTGGGAATAAAACCTTCAAAACCATTAAGTTAGTTTGCAAGTAAGAGACCAATTCAGCCAACACTTTTCACTTTTACATTGCTTTAGCACAGTGAATCATCTGCAAATTCAGTTTCACTAGCTAGCACACTGTGGTCATCTTATACTGTTCCCATTTTCTGATACACAGACCCTTAGGTTTCTAGTATAAATCTAAAAACATCAGAGGTAACGTACAGGAGCATTTTCTTTACATGTTTGTTTAGTTACATAAATGTTATACAATATATTAAAAAATATTTTTAGATTCCTAATGGTAAAAAAGTTAAACTGCAGCCATGGTTGACAGAACACATTTGTACATAAAAAGCATTGTAGGCATGTTATAATGAACTCAAATCAACTCTAAGTTGAAAGTCTAAGCAACTGAAAACTTGTATGAGTACTTAAGAGAAATCTAAATATGTTAAATTATGGAAATAAACACTTCAGGCACTCAATCTTAATTCTGCCCTTTAGTGAACATAAGCAAACCAAAAAAAGTATGTGATTTTAAAAGTTCATATTAATCTAATTTGGAACCATAAATACCAAAATAATTCAACAGCAATCACACGGTCATTTCATATTACAACTCATGGCCATGAGGTTAAGTTTCCTCTTTTTTTTTTTTCCTTACCTTAGCTCCTTATAAGTGGAACATAACCAGATTTCCTGTGCAACATTTACTGGTGCAGGTTACCTCCATCTCTGTGCCTGTTTAGCTTTTTTTGACAATGTGGTGTCAAGCAAAGCAATAGCAGCTTTGCACAGAATTTTTTCCCCCTACTATCTGCCTCACACTCTAACCTATAATGCAGTAGTTACCAATGCAGTAGCCTGCAAGGGAGAATTAAGGGCTCTCTCTTATCCCACTTTTCCTTGTGCAGGACACAACAAAAGCCACACAAGTTTTTGCTTAGCAATGTTGTACTGCAGTGCTTGCGAAAATTATGCCAAAAAGCCATTAGCGTTTCATTTTGTAAGGGGACTGGAAATCCATTATACTATGCCACATTTTAGTTTGAAAATTGTTTTGGGTCAGAACCCAAGGTCAGAGTAATTCTCTTGCACTATATTCCCTATTGCTTTTTCTGCTTCGACGTTGTGCATCACTTGACCTGTCCAGAGATACTGCAAAGTAAAGTTACAGAGGAAACTTCAAAAAAATATCACCCCCCCTCCCCCAGACTCATGCATTTCTACACCAAAGGGCAGATTTTTCTTATTCCAGGACTATCTCACCTCTGGAGTGACATCTCGTGGTGCAAACCCTGTTCCTCCAGTTGTTAAAATCAAATTAAGTTCTTTTTCATCACACCAATCTATCAGCGTCTCCTGAAAGAGAACATGAATCCTGTCAGACCTAACAAGTAACGTGGGATACAGTTATCTCAGAAAACACCTGAAGACTTGAAATGTCTTAAAAACAGACACACACAATAAATACATGGAATTGTAAAATCACTCATGGCTTTTTATATAAAGATTTTAAACCACTATTTATAACCAACATATGACATAATAATTTAAAAACCCATCATAATATTTTTGGAAATGGAAACTGAAATTCTGCTCTCCATCTCTTGAATGGAAAACAAGAATTGACAGTTATTCATTTATATCACTATTTATTTTGATTTTGAGATACAAATATAATGCTCTGACACATGTTCATAGAACATGTGCATTTAATTGAGATTATATGGTTGATTCTTTTTACAGTAACTTTGGTTTCTGTGCTCCACTTTTTAACAGCCTGAAAAAAGCAAGAACCACATATTTGTAAGCTTATCTACTAAAAGATGCAATGATACACCTGATGCAACAACACAAAACATTATCTATAATCATCTTTTCTACATTCCCTACAACATCTCAGTAGGACTGTGTATACCAATTCCAAGGCTGGACTAAGAAAGCTTAATAAATCTGTCATGTAAATTCAATGATTCACAATACTGGAGAACTCGTGATACTAGAGCAGTGTTTAATTTGATTTGCATTCATTTTTTAAATGGCATTTTAAACTAGTTTTCAAATGGTGATAAAAATATGACATAAGCAGAAAATTTATTTAGTCTCAATTGATTATATCACTTATCCTTCATACTCTACTGTGGGCTAGCACAGCAGCAGAATGTCTGCTTGGAGCTCAAAATTAGCTGTGGTACATGAAGCACAGTCATGTATTACACAGTAAAGTATCCACCTGCAGAAATCAGTCAGATCAATTACTTAGACAGCTATCGTTATTCTAGCAAAGAAACCTCATTCTTTGAAAAAGTTTAGGGCACATTTATCTTTCTGGAGTATTATACTGGGGAGGAATGAACTGTTTTGATGACTGGTGGCTAGAAGCTTATTATTTATCATAAAATCAAATCGGAGCAATATACTGATTAAAAAAGCTTAAAATATTGTTGATGGTCATAGAACTGTCCAGAACATTTTAAAAAGTACTACCAATTTAGATTAATCCTCAGGTGTATGTTCTGCAGGCTTAGCACTGCTATGTAACTTCCAATTAAGAGAAAGCTCATATACAGCCTCTTCCAAATTGCAGATAGAATAAACTTGTATCTGCCTGCAAGCCCCATCGTGCAAACGTATCCAAGGGTTACTTGAAGAAGTGGCAAAGCCAGAGGTTCTGTCTTTATTTCTCCTTTCTTTACTCATTCCTTCCACTTCCCCGTTTGCATTATCTCTTCTCTTTATCAAAACCACATTCATCTTCTTATGGCACTCTACTTAGGTGGGCTGTAACTTGCCAGAAGTTTCTGGTTATATGAACATTTCAAATAAGCTTGAGAAAAGAACACACATAGTGTCTCAGACCCATACATAAATGAACTATTTAAATGAATTACGGTAGTAAAAAGTGTTTTAAGCCTTAAAATTGTATGTTTCAATAACATAGATATGCACCTGAAAAATTATTTTAAAGAGGTGGCATCTTCTCTGTTTTATCATCTAGAAACATTTATGTCTCGACTTTGAACAGCTACAAATTTCAGAGAATACCTGAGAGAAGTTCAGCGTAAAAATGGTGTTTGGCAAAGTTAGAGCTTAATATTGTATATATTTTAAAAATTATCATCAAGAAAAATTTGTCAGTATAAAACAGGAGGGAGAGATTTTGTGGGGTTTTTTTAATGAAGCATTTATCTTCAGATAAAATAAAACCTGCCAAACTCCAACTGGCTTTATAGAGAAAATAAATCCCCTTCCTCTGTTCTGATTTTGCTACAGTTCAATAATACTCCAGTTAACAGGGAAAAAAAAGTCATCTGATAGCCTACAAAAAGCTAAAGAAATCAGTATACACCCTAACTCTTCAAATAAACTGAGCAACAATTAAATGCCTATTACTGCTATTCCATCAGTGTACTTAGGCAGACATATAATTCTCTATCAAGTTCTAGTTATAGTAAAGAAACGTAAGATTTCAGTAAGACAACCTTTGACTATGAGACAGTAAGTTTGGGTTTCATTGTATTTTAGAAGTGTAAATTGTACCACTTAGATCTTTTAAAACTATGGAAAAATACCTAAGACTGATATTCAGCTTATTTACTTTCTCTCGATCCCACAAAACTCTATCCCACAAAACATTCTCATTGACATTTTAAGTATCTAAAAAAGGAAGCACCACCCCCATCAATTGAGGACAAAAGGCTACTCATATTCACTTTGCTGCTGCCAGCAGTCCAGCTAGATTCTCCACTGGCTTTGCATGGAACTGAATTTGCTGTGTCTTCAAATGAGAATTCCCCTAGGCCAGGGACCTGATATTTGGCTTTACTGATGCTATACAAACAAAATTATTATATAACATTTCAATCAGAGAAAATTTCATTAAATAATTTTTGTGCATCTTTCTCCTTTTCTATTGTTTCATTGATGATAAGCTTTCAAGATAAATGAGACTAAGTCAACAGGTTATGTAAATCACTGTCACTCCATTCAAGTCAATGGAATTATGCTGAGTGATACAAAATACAGTATCTGGCTCTGAAAACAGTACTGTAAAATTACTACCAAATTTTAAAAAGCCAGAACAAAACTACAGACCTCCAGAAAAAAAACAACCAATAGCTTAATATTTTTAACCATTAATATCCTAAAATAGGCTTTATCAGTTATTTTCTAGTGTCAAGGTAGACAAGGAGAAATGAAGTCATTACAGTCAGTTCCTCTAGACACATTTTTATTTCAAAAGCACACAACTGTGATTCTAACCTGTTCAGATTTCATTGAAGTCCTAGAATAATTATATTAATTATGTTTTTCAGCTGCACAGAAATAAAATGTCAGCCCAGTTGCCTCCTTAAGCTTTGGACTGGATCTGGTGCCCTGTCCTCTCTACCTATTTCTTTGTATTTTCTCTTTAAATACACTTAAATTCCTCTCATTTAAGTAAGTAAGAAATCCTTGGGTCTAACATACAATTTATTTCTATCTATCTCTTGCTCCAAAGAGCTTTTGTTTCAATCAGCCCCCTCTCTCTCCCAACTTGGAACTACTTGTTGGGACTTCCTATGCACTGCCCAATCTTGAAATTATTTCAGTTACAACACTGCTCATCAAAAACTTTGCTTATGATCTGTTTGAATTTTCTCATGACTAGTGTTGATTTCACCAATGCAGAAAAATCTTGCCTCATTCTTTCTCTGAGTTCTTAGTCTTTCACATGTAAATTTATTGATTTTAAGGCCAATAAAGATCATTTACTCATGGAAAGAATGCCTACAGTGTGTGGCACAGTGCAGAGACCCTATGTTTACCACAGATACATGCTTACAAATTCATACAGGCACCATCACATTAAGACACACTAAGTCCAAAAGCTGTACAGATGTATTCTTGTGGCACCACACCTAAGCTGACATTTCAGTCAGTGAATGGCTATAACACTTACAGACATATTTCCTTCTGTGGAGGTAACTTAAGCATCTCAATGTCCAAGATGCGAAAGTGCCATTAGTCTAGGTTGCAATGGGCAAGTCACAGAATTTTGGTCAGTTCCTCCTGTATTTAAAACAAATTCTAGGACTCAAGCATCTCTTCACTAAACCACCCAGCCTTGATCTGAAGGATTCAAGAGAGAGAAGATATATCATAATTTAATTTGGTAGGGTTTTCCAGCAGCTATTCATGTTTATCACTATTTGTTGTGTTTCTAGTAACTGTTTCTTACTAACCATTTCTGTGGGATAATGCCCCCGCCATGATACGTAAGAAACCTGTTCACAGAATGCACAATGGTCATGGCTAGCAAAGCGTGGTATTTTGTAACTCCATTAATGTACCATCCCCTAACCTCTGCAAGTAAGTGAACAGGAGAAACAAATAGGAATTCCTTTCTGGAGTTAAAGGAACAGTTCCCTGATCGTTGGAGATAACTGAGGTTTGTGGGTTTCTTATCTTAGTAAATTTTTGCAGTCTCTTGCAATAAAGCCGTATTACAATCATGGGCACTCTACGTTTCTCTCCTTGATTGCTACTTCACTTAAATAATGGAGTAGAGCAGTTCTACATGTGTAATTAATTACTTCCTTTTCAGAGAGACAGAGGCATCCATTCATTGACACAGTATTATAAAATACGCTGTTAGCCAGGAATTTAAACTTGAGAAAGGTTGCAAGACTCCTCCAGTCCTCTTACTGCTACTGTACACTGCTCTTCCCCATAGGTACTGAGACTATGAGTAATGCCCTTAACTGGAGCAGAAGTACTACAAAGCACACAAAAATGGTCACCATGGATCAGAACAAATGCCTACACAGAAGAGCTGAGGTCTTGAGGACTGTTCCTTTCCTATGATGCTACAGTCGTATGGTATTTATTGTCTTTCTTTTTGTCCTATTTTTGCCATCACTTTGCTATGAGAGTGTGATAACAGTCCCACGTGTTTATGCTTTCGAAATGATTAGAAAAATCAATCAACCTGCAAATCAATATTATGGTGCTTATTCCTGGGATTAACATGTACACCTTTTTTCTTATCAATGTCATTTACTTCATAATACAAGGATTGTAAAAATAATTCTCAATACATATGCATACTTTTCATACACCTTAACCACTGGAATATGACATGTACACTGTTACCATTTAAAACATTCATTAGGAAAGAATAGGAAAATGCTAAAAAGAATACAAACAGGCAGGTTTTCATAAAGAATCCATACAGAATTCTTCCATTATATATTCAGTACTGAAACTGGTTACGTAATTTTATAGTTAACAAAGATGTTTGGTATTTTGGCACATTAAGTTTTTCTAGCACAGTGCGAACTTGAAGTTATTTCGCCTTATATGCACCACCAATCACA